AAGATTTCTTGATGATCTACAACTTGTCCCCCATAATCCTCAAATCCCATGTCAATCAGAAGTCTGTCTAATTCAGCCTTGCACATTCTGATCGAACTGGCCTCCACTGCTCAGTGAAGAAGAGAATTCCAAAGACAAATGACCCTCCAACAGAAGAAATTACTCCTCACCTCAGCCCTAATTGGGGACCCTTTCCTTTCAAACCATGTCCCCTAGTCTTACATTACACCACAACAAGAAATATCCTCTCAGTGTTCACTTTGGCAATCCTTGATAAAAACTTTATGTTTTAATAAGATCATCTCCCATTCTTATAAACTCCCATAAGTTTAGGTCACTGGTGAGATGACTGAAGCAGCAAGGGTCTGAAACGTTTCCCTGACAAGTATACCTATACCCGTTGACACTGACAGAGTCTGGTGCCACCCACTGTCAGAACCATCATGCCTGTAAAGAGACACAGAATCATGGAAAATAGGTGCAGGAGTACGCCCATTCGGCCCTTCGAGCCTGCATCACCATTCAATATGGTCCCATTCCTGCTCTCTCCCCATACCCCTTGACCCCTTTAGACACAAGGGCCACATCCAGTTCCCTCTTGAATATATCTAACAAACTGGCCCCAACAGCTTCCTGTGGGAGAGAATTCCACAGGTTCACAACTCTCCGAGTGAAGAAATTCTTCCTCATCTCAGTCCTGAATGGCTTACCCCTTATTCTTCGACTGTGACCCCTAGTTCTGGACTTCCCCAACATCGGGAACATTCTTCCCATATCTAGCCTGTCCAGTCCCATCAGGATTTTATTTGCTTCTATGAGATCCCTCCTCATTCTTCTAAATTCCAGCGAATACAAGCCCAGTCAATCCAGTCTTTCCTCATCTGTCAGTCCTGCCATTCCGGGAATCAGTCTGGCGAACCTTCCCGGCACTCCCACAATAGCAAGCGTGTCCTTCCTCAGACTGGGAGACAAAAACTGCACACAATACTCAACATGGGGCCTTACCAAGGGCCTGTATAGCTGCAGCAAGACTCTTACCAATTTTTATACATGCACCGTGGAAAGCGTTCTATCCGGATGCATCGTGGCTTGGCATGGCAACCACTCTGCCCAGGACCATAAGAAACTGCAGAGAGTTGTGAACACAGCCCAGACCATCACGCAAGCCAATTTTCCACCCACTTACTCCATCTACACTTCTCGCTGCCTCAGGAAGGCAGCCAACATCATCAAAGACCCCTCTGACCCTGGTTAGAATCTCTTCCAATCCCTTCCGTCGGGCAGAAGATACAAAAGCTTAGACACATGTCCCAGCAGATTCAAGAACAGCTTCTTCCCTGCTGTTATTAGACTGATGAATGGACTGGTAAAATTTTTAATTTAACGTTGACCTCACTCTCTGTGCACCTTCCCTGCAGCTGTAACATTGTATTCCTCGCTCTGTTCTATCACCCTAATGCACTTTGTATGTATGATGTGCCTGTACTGCATGCAAAACAAAACTTTTCACGGTACCTAGGTACACGTGACAATAATAAATCAAATCAAATCCAATCCAATGCTCAGGCAGCTGCTCCCTCCCCAGCTAAATCTTACAAGGCTCACTACGACTGTGAGTCCCCGTGGACATAACCAACTTTTCCATAGCGATGGGCCTTGGGGATCCCTGACTGTTTTCGCAGAGGAGAGCTCTGCATTGGGAGACAGTCATCAGGGGGTGGCTCTGCTAACATGGTTACATTAGCTTATCTTAAAAACCAATGGGCTTGAATGAGAACGGTAGCACAGTATTGCATTCACATAGTGCCTCTTACAACCTTAGTAAGCATTTTACATCCAGCCAAGTACGTCGGAATCTGGATGCTGCCCTTTTACTCTTTCCCCCTTGTTGTTCTTTTTCTAAGCTGTTGCTTGTTGTATTATTCTCTACCACTCTGAGAAAGGATCCCAGAGCAGAAACATCAAAAGATGTGACTGAGCATCTACTTTTTAATATGTTAACCAAAAAGCTACTCTTCAAAAGGAGATCTGAAAGCAGGCAGATGAATGTCTTGAAACAGCTAATGTGCAAAGGCTTTCAAGCAACGATAAAAGAAAAGATCAGTTGATCATTTTTTGGCACTGCTGCTCACAAAGGACTTCTTGTTCTCTCTTAAGTAACCAACCACAGGGAATAAGAGGTTCCCGCAAGTTGCAAGTAAATGTGAGTGGAGTGTGAGAAGCTCTTAGGATAGAAACCATTCTATATTCAGCCAGAACCGTCTGGAACGGCAGCTTCTAAGCATGGATCCTATACGATCTCTTTGCAGCAAACTCCCTCTGCTGGTACTTGTGTGTATGGTGGCCTCAAATGGACAAAGTGCACAATGTAATTTTGACTGCATTACAGGAGTTCAAAATGACATTTTATTTTGATTAGAAAATTCATAATTGAGCAGAGTATTGAGGAGTGTTCACCAAGCCCTAGATTTGAGGTTTGGTAAAGACAGCTATTTAAATTTTGTTTGCCACAGTGTACCTTGGAAACTATTTCTAAGCCTGCCTGGTTAGGATCAGGTGATCTGTATGAAGTCAAAGATCCAACGGCCAGAGAGTCATTCAGTGGAATAGTAAGCTGAGGACATGTGTTATAACCTAAAGCCAATATATCATTACAAAGGTGTTCTGTTTGATCCCACTTCCTGTTTAGATGAAGAATGGAGCTGCATTTATATTGACCTTTCATGACCTCAACGCACCCAAACTGCATGACAGTCAAGCAAGCATTCTTGAAGTGTTGTGATGCCGGAAATATGAGAGTCGAATTACACACAGCAAGATCCCATAGGCAGCATGAGATAAATGGCCAGCTAAGTCTGATTGGTTGAGGGACGAATATTAGTCAGGACAGCGGTTAGGGCTCTCCCTGTTCTTCCACAACTAATACCACTGGATATTCTACATCTAAAGAGGAAGCCTTGTTTAACAGCCCCATCCAAAAGGGAATGCCTCCAACACTGCAGTACAGTACACAGAGAATGTCAGAGTGGTCCATGTACCCAAATCTATGGACTGAGCCAACTTTCAGAGTTAGAGAGGACAAGGTACCAATATGGTCACAGCTACTTCATCAAAACCGGACAGCGAAAGGCACATGGTCAAAGATCCTGAACTATCAGCATACATCGGATTTAGATGAGAATATAATAATTATAGTTAGTAAATTTGTGTACGACATCAAGATTAGTGGTACAGTGGACAGTGAAGAAGGTTATCTAAGATTACAAAGTGATCTTGATCAATTGGGTCAATGGGCTGAGGGGTGGCAAATGGGAATTTAGTATGGAAAAGTGCGATGTATTGCATTTTGGTAAAACAAACAAGGACAGGATTTATATAATTAAAGTAGGGCCTTGGATAGTATGGTAGAACAGCGAGGCCTGGGAGTTCAGGTACATAATTCTTTGAAGTTTGCAACACATCTCGATAGGGTGGTTAAAAAGCTGTTCAGCATGCATGCCTTCATTGCTCAGACCTTTGAGAACAGCAGTTGGGATGTTATGTTAAGGTTGTACAGGACATTGATGAGGCCTTTTCTGGAGCATTGTGTCCGGTTCTAGTTGCCCAGTTATAGGAAGGATATTATTAAGCTGGAGGGGGTTCAGAAGAGATTTACTAGAATGTTGCTGGGAATACAGGGTTCGAGTTAGAAGGAGAGGCTGGGACCTTTTTCACTAGAGCATAAGAGATTGAGGAGTGACCTTAAAGAGATTTAGAAAATCATGAGGGGTGTAGATAAGGTGAATGGCAGGGGTCTTTTCTTTAGGATTGGGGATTTCAAGATCAGAGGGCATAGAGGAGAAAGATTTAAAAAAGACATGAAGTGTAATTTTTTATTTTTACACAGAGAGTGGTTTGTGTGTAGACTGAACTTGCAGAGGAAGTGGTGGATGTGGGTACAGTTACAACATTTAAAAGATATTTGAATAAGTACATGAAGAAGAAATGTTTGGAGGGATATGGGCCAAGCGCAGGCAGGCGGGACTAGTTTAGTTTGGGATTATGGTCGGCATCGACTGGTTGGACTGAAGGGTCTGTTCCTGTGCTGTACGACTCTATCTAAGATCACATTTTTTTAAAAAAGTAAGCGCTGATATAATGACTTAGGTTAGGGTTTGCTTAGATTTGAGGTTCCACTCTATACATCAGCCAATTGAAATTTCACCAGGTTTAGACAGAAGAGGAAGCAATACAGAGAGGTACTGTCTAAAAGCCAGTCATTGTCAGCAGTCACAGGATAACTTCCACAGTGGGCAAAGCAATTCCTGGTTATGGAGGGAGGGCAACAAAGATTTACCAGACGGATTTCTGGGTTGGCAGGACTGACACACAAAAAACAGAATGGAGACTTAGGATTGTATCTACTGGAGTTCAGAAGAGATCTCATAGGAACCTATGTCATTCTGACAGGACTAAATTGAATCTAAACGAGGGGTACAGTTTAAGGAAAGAGGGCAGGCCGTTTAGGACCAGCGTACCCTCTAATTTTCCAGCAATGCCGCCATTGGATTGCCAATGCGCAGAACACCAGAGCGGTGTGCAGCTTAGAGGAAATGGACTGAGCTGAGGGGAAATATCTTCACCGAGAGGGTGGTGATCCTGTGGAATTCTCTGTCACAGAAAGCAGTTGAGGCCAAAACGTTGAATGTTTTCGCGAAGGAGTTAGATATATTTCTTAGGGCTAAAGGGAACAAAGGGTACGGAGAGAAGGCAGCAACAGGGGCGTGAGCTGGATCATCAGCCACGATCACACTGAATGATGGAGCAGGCTTGAAGGGCCGAATGGCCTCCTCCTGCTCCTTATTTTCTACGTAAAAGGAAACAAAGTGTGAATTGCCAAGATAAATCATTTGATCCCCCCTGACACTGCTGATTGGAGAGGCAGCTGAGGACAAACATGGCCCCAGAGGGATTTACAGACGGCAGGAGAGATGGGTGGTGGTTAGTGGCAACGGCCTTACCTGATAACATAGCTCATCCCACTGCCTGTGCAGCAGCTCAATCCGCTCTTGCAGCAGTGAGATATCATCGGCGCGAATGTAGCTGGATAAGGTTTCCTTCAGGAAGGAGAGGTGGGCAAGGTCATCGGTCCACCCTGCAAAAGAGCTTTCCAGTTCCTGCAGCGAGACAGTAAAACCATTTCCGGTGAGATCTACTAGATTCACAAAGCACACAATCGCTGGGCCCTTTTACATCAAACTTGAGGGGAGGTGATGGGCTTGTGGCATTATTGCTAGACTATTAATCGAGAGACTCAGGCAATCTTCCGGAGACCTGGGTTAAATTCCACCATCGGCAGGATTTGAAGTTCAGTAAAACGAACAAAAAAAATCTGGAATCGGAAGTCTAATGATGACCATTGTCAGGAAAACCCATCTGGTTCACTAAATGTCCTTTAGGATCTAGTCTTACCTGGTCTGGGCCTACATGTGACTCCAGACCCACAGCAAAGTGGTTGACTCTTAACTGCCCTCTGGGTAGTTAGCATTGGGCGGTAAATGCTGGCCGAGCCAGGAATGCCCACGTCCCATGAATAAATACAAAAGAAAACTGAGGAAACAGGAGCAGGAAGTAGGCCATTTGGTCACTCAAACCCCGCTCTGCCCCTTCCACCAGATTGTGGCTGCTTAAAATCATCTTCCAGTGCTTGCTACGATTTCTGGATCTTTAACATCCAGTGTATCATGTTGGCTTTAACTGCCAGTCAGAAAGTGCAGAGAATTCACCTTTTAAGACAATGCTGGTGAGGGAATATTGGAACTGGAATGAAACAGAAAGGAGAACTTTACCATGCATCGGATCTGCTCCGTGTGTAGCTCATCGTGATGATCAGGGAGGGGCTGCGAAAGCTTTCTCTTGAAAGACCTCAGCTTGGCCAGAGAATCTGCGATTCCTTTCTCACACTGCTCCCAGTCCTTTAAAGGGGGAAGTCGATCATATCAATCAGAAACTTTGAAAAAGGATTGATTCAGTGAGTAGAACAGAACATTAGATTTCAGCTCTTGCACAGTATGATAGCAGGGTAGAGCTGGATCAATAAGTTGTGGAGCTGAGCAGGCCAAAGAGAACGCAGTATATCAGGGAGGGGCATCACTGTCTGCGTTTGGCAGCTCACACCCAATGCAGTTTACTACTGCTGCTTCAATTCCTTTTAAATAGAGAGCTGTTTTCGTTCAAACTCTTAATCAACGCTTCTGGAGTACTTTGTGCAGTTCTGGTCGCCCTGTTTATAGGAAGGATATTATTAAACTGGAGAGGGTTTGGAAGGGATTTACCAGGATGTAGCTGGAATGGAGGGTTTGGAGACTGGAAAGACTGGGGCTTTTTCCACTGCAGCGTAGTAGGTTGAGGGGTGCTCTTACAGAGATTTATAAAATCACGAGGGGCATAGATAAGGTGAATGGCAAGGGTCTTTTCTCTAAAGTGGCAGGGTTCAAAACTAGGGGGCATATTTTTGAGGTGAGAGGGTAAAGTTTTAAAAAAGACATGAGGGGCAACTTTTTTTTTTTTTACACACAGAGAGTGGTTTGTGTGTGGAACGAACTTCCAGAGGAAGTGGTAGGTGTCAGTACGGTTACAGTGTTTAAAAGACATTTAGATAAGTACATGAATAGGAAAGGTTTGGAGGGATGTGGGAGGTGGGACTAGTTTAGTTTGGGATAATGATCGGCATGGACTGGTCGGACTGAAGGGTCTGTCTCTTGTGCTGTATGACTCTATCAATGTTTTCTCAGCATTGAGACCTACTGTGCGGGTGTGATGTATGATTAACGTCAATTGGAGGTGGGCCTCGTCATAAGCATTTAGCATTCCAAAACTGACAGGCCTCGCAACACTGCTTGCAAAGGACTGGGGCATGCACCCAGCCCTGATGTGTATGGGGAAGTCAATAGATAGCACAGTAGCTCCAGAAAAAGCCTGGCAAGCCTCCCGTGTTTTTGGAAACAGCCTGCCCATCGACAGAGCTGGAATACTCGTGGTGGGACGCTGAGCCGCCGTTCCCAGCTCTCAGCCTTGCGGAGGTGTGAGGGTTAGAGAGCGAGCGAGACAGAGGTTATGTTCAGCAAGAGGAGGGAGGAGTGGAGGTTTCCTAGGGGGCAGTACTCCTATCCTTCCTACAACAAACGCTGGATCCGGCTGCTCAAGCTTCCAGCCCACTGCCGAACGTTCTGTTTAAATCTGTCAATCTTTCTCCACGCTGGAACATTTCGACTACTTGAAACCCCCAATGTACACATGCTGACTGTTGGTGACCCACATCGTATCTTGCCTTTCAGAGATTCCATCTGGAAAGTCTCTGTGTGCCGTGTGTATACAATGTTGTGACTCTGCCTGTCAGTCAGTCAATCTGCTATTGGACTGTAAGCTGTCCACACGTAAATCAATGGATTTGCTGCAATTTATCTTTTATTTAATTCATTGGATGCAGGCGTCATTGGACTGGCCAGTATTTCTTGCCCATCCCTAGTTGCCCTTGAGAAGGTGGTGGTGAGCTGCCTTCTTGAACCACTACAATGCATGTAGACCCACAATGCTGTTTGGGAGGGAGTTCCAGGATTTTGACCCAGCAGCACTGAAGGAACAGCAATATGTTCCCAAGTGAGTAGCTCAGAGGGGAACTTAGAGGTTGGTGCTCCCTTGTATCTGTCACCCTTATCAATGCAGACAGTAGCAATGATGTGGAGGTGCCGGTGTTGGACTGGGATGGACAAAGTCAGAAATCACACGACACCAGGTTATAGCGAACTTCATGTGACGAAGGAGCAAGACTCCGAAAGCTTGTGATTTCAATTAAACCTGTTGGACTATAACCTGGTGTCATGTGACTTCTGACTCAGACGGTAGTGGTCAAGGGTTCAGGAAGTGTCTGTTTCATAAACTTGCAATGTGTTTTACTACATTAAACAAACTAAGCCACCGAGTTAACCAATTCCTGGTGAGTGATTAATTATTAGACCATTACCATGAACATCTTTATAAACCTCATCCCACCAATACCCTTCCCCCAGGGGTGATACCAAAGTCACCATTTACAACAATTACACTGCTACAGTGAAAATGTAACAGGGCACTGAATGGGACAGGGATTGCCTGTACTGGACAGTACCGGTGAGAGCCTGTGACACCTATAGGAAGTACAGACACACACACAGGAAACCTTAATTTATACCGTTAACAGATTGTCTGTGGTATTGCACTTGGCGCAACACAGCATTTAATTTAGTCATGGTATTAAAATGTGACAGGAAGTTACCGTAAGTGTGAACTACACACACAAGACTATTAATGTCGGTTCGAATGCAACAGGAAACGCAGCAAAGGTGAAAATCAATGCACAAGTTACATTTCTTGTCAGGAGGCCTGGCTTTAAAACTACACCCATCAGCTGAGCAGCCCTAGTTGGTACCCAGGCTAACTTAGTGTGCCCAAGGTCTGATGAGCGGCTAACCCAGAAAAATTTGCTCATAACTTGAATTCACATGCGAAGTGACTGCTTTTGGAAGTGGAGTTTCCTGTTAAGTTGCCAGAGTCTAAACACAGGTTACTTTCGTCACTTCCTCAGATGGTTCTGTCTGAAAACGATGGAACCCAAATAAACCTGGTGCTAATAGAAACTAAGGAGTATTTTGTACAATGGTTTGGACCGAACATTAGCAACAAACTCCCAGCCCTTTACTCTTCTCCTGAAAACAGCTTTTAACAGGTTAAAAATAGTAACAAGAACGAAATCAAACAGATAATTGAAACTTAGAGAAGTGGGTTGGAGCTTATCAAAATCAGATTGTGCACATGATGATGCACTCCAGCATAGCCCAACGGTCTCGAACAGCTTCAACAACACCAGTCCTCACTGCATATGGCCTCTCATCGGAGACCCGAACACAAACCTAAAACAGCAAAGCAGGCGCCAACACTCAGGTAGATTCCTGATGGCCACTTCAGCCAAGCCTGGGACAGAGCCTGTGAGGATGCCCTCCCACTATTCCAGCCGCTCCCCACACGGAGAGGCCTTGCATCAGGTGCATAGAGCTGAAAGTCTGACCAAATCTATAACAGCAGCCCTTTCAAACAACCGAAAAGGAAAGGTGAATAAAAACACTCAACGCTGTTGTGGAAAACCAAGACCCCCAGGCCCCAGAATCTACATGTGGCCTGGGAACCTGTGAACACCCTCAGTCTGATGTTGCATTGTATTGCTGCATGTCCCACTCTCTATCCCAGATCATTGATGGAAGAGGGAGAGACCCCTTTGTAGAGGGACCCGCTCCCGTTGCTCCCCACTGACCGTCAGGGACAGGGACCCGCTCCCGTCGCTCCCC